ATCTGTATGATTTGTAAAACTACCAATTTTCACTTCTTCTGCCAAGGAATCGTCATGCAATAATTTTTCAACTTCCTCTCAATATCCTCAATTTTCTATGATACAAACACAGATAATTAGAAACAGAAAATTAAAATAATATAACGTAGCGAATAATTATCACTCAACCTTATTTGAGATACGCTTCCTAAATCTCGTTTTTCGAACATTCTTCAAAGGTGGCGTTAACCCATCCGGCCATTCAAATTGATCAACATTTGAAGACTTCGTATTTTCAGTAAAAAATTGTTCTTCCTCTTGTGTGTCGATTGGAGATTCCACTATCAACATCTAAAAATGTATTAAGCAACACCCAAGTTACAACAGCTCATTGGACATGGTTATTTACCTGACAGATATCGGTAACCTTATAGCATTAAAAGTCTTTTGAGCTTCAATAATGCAGGATAGATCCACTAATCGTGCACTGTACTTTTGATTTTTAAACGTAAATATCGCTCGACAAGAGTCTACGTATTGCTATTTATAAATATCAGAATTCGATCCTAATCATTTCATTGAAAATCAAGTGATCGTTGAGTTACCTTTGAAAACAATCGTAACATCGTCGGATATCTTTCGTTTCCTGACTTTTTCTCCGAATCTTTGTTTTGCATCCTCCGATATCATCAATCTCAAAATAAACTATTCTTCGATCGGAATTTCTGGTTCCTCGTCATCAGTAAATTTGCTCAAGACAATTGACTTTTTCTTAGTTCCTTCGCCAGCCGGTTGTTTTTCCGTACCGTTCGTTTGTAAAGATTTAGCCGGAAGCTTGATTTTTAAGGGAGGTGAGGTCTTTGAAGAATTTATAACCGCTGTTGGTGAATTGATCGCAGGTAGAACGATTTTTTTCTTCGTGATCGGAGCGCCATCCTCCTTCTTGTGACCTTTTCTCTTGACAGGAACCTTTTTTGTACCCATTTTATGTTAACAGTTATTTGAAATTGCATTCTATCTTGGTTAAATTATTTAAACAATTTCATTGGACAATTTGCTGGCGCATATGTAGTGAAATTTCCGAATTTTATTTTTTCACGTGATGAGAATCGTGATAGTCACGTAGTAAAAATTACGAATTTGCAGATCACGTATTATAAACCACGATTTATTGTATACAGTATATAGCCGGAAATTTACGAGTGGCGCAAGGATGACGCAAGGGGATGCATTTCATGCGACCGAAAATAGGAAAAAAACTGCTTAACTCAAGGGTGGCGCGTCATCACTGATGACATCACTTATGCATCAGTTAAGTTGCATGACGCGTCGCAGCTAGAGAAGACGCGTCTACACTACTATAAATAGTAGTGAATGACTAGTAAAAGTCCTCACAATTTCCTCAAGAATTTGATAACTTATCTAATTGTAATAAACCTACCTTAATTAGTGTCAGTCCCAAAAGGATAATCTATAAGGCCACAAGAGACCTGTGGCACGATTATTGAGGATAAAGGCCAAGCAAATGAGGTAGTTTGAATCGGAAGATGACCCTCTAACAATTCGTAGCGTTACGCGAGTGCTGTCCCGGGTTAGCGACAGACTCGCCGTTTTCACCCCAACAATAGACACATACAATACAGCTCGTTTTTCGCGCATCAAGACAAGAGAATGAACGAAAAAGGAAGATATCCAATCTAGAAGCATTTCTTGGTCTAAGAAATTATATTTTACAACTATATTTGATAATTATAATATCAAACAAATCGAAAAAAAAAAAAAATGAGTCATACTGAAGAATTCCTTGGAGACGAGAGTATGCTTATATAGGAACCAGACACTATGTGCACGAGGATAACACATGGAGAGGAATCGATGCCGACGAGGAACTGAATAAGCTCTTCGCAGAGTTCAATATAAACGGTACTTGAATAAAGTTATAACTTTTTTTTATGCAATAAAAAATTTCTAAGTAAGTCATAAATAAATTTTGGCAAAGTTATTCTATATTAACTAATTTTTGGGGATTTTATAGTAATCGCTTCATATATTAAAAATAATAAAATTCATTCGTACCGCGGGTTCTTAAAAAAAAATAATAAATCCATTGAACTCCTCCTCCCGTCTGTAGATTGTTGGAAAAAGTGTGATGTTTTCTGGGGTCGACATTTTTTGCGTTGCGCAGAGGAATTACTTTCAGAAACAAAACACGAAAGTTTAAAAAAATCGGTTTGTTTTTTCTTTATTTAAAAGGAGAATAATTATCGTCTTAACTAAAATTGATGATGCGTTATATAAGTTTGTAAGAATTTTATATATAGTCAAATGTTAATAGTTATCTTTTTTATATTAGATTGATTCCGAGTGCTCACGATTTATAAAAGAATTAGAAAATATATGGAAAGACATAATTAAAAAGCAAAAAATAGTAAGTAATAATATAAAAAAAACTTATACTGCATATTGGTACTATTATTAATTAATTTTAATATGCTTTATTATAGAATCGTGAAGTTTCGGAAAAAGAACCGGATACCTGGGTCTGCCGGTAAGTTATAATTTAGCTGTATATATCGTTAATATTATACTAGATTAAATAAGTTATTATTTTTTTTAGTATCGGAGAAAAAAAAAAGAAAACAGAGGCAGAATTATTATTGGTGGTACCTCCACGGATACGCTATCCTAAATTAAGGATCTTACAAATCTGATAATACTGCCAGGCAGTATAAAAGACCCAGGTTTCATCGATATCGTGGAGTAGACGATATTTCCAACGAGGAAGATGTAAGACAGGCATTGTCTGTAAACATCCTAGAGAATCTGATAGAATCACCACTTCACGCCAACCTAGAGAAAAATATAAGAGGATTTCTAGTGAGGATTTAGTTACCGGAGATCCTGACTTTATATACAAGCAGGATGGCAAATTGCTATTAACAATTGAGGTGAAGACTTCATGGGTCTTACATTTAGAAAAGAAGAAATCACTTCCAGTGCAACACCCCCGGCATCTCCGTCGTCTAATAGTGATGATTCTTTAGAATTGGAATATGAACTACCCACCATATCGTTGAAAAGAAAACGATAGGCGCGATCTACCATTCGAAAGAGAAGCTCCGAATTCCTGGTACGATCGTGCTTTCCAAAATAAAGACATGGGGGGAGTTCTTACCTCACGATGCAACATCCTACGGAACCCTGTACGTCACCTGTGCAGCACACCATGCAGGCGAATTTGTGTGAAATTTCCGGATCATGCGTTTTTTTTATTTAAGATAACATTAAGACTATTATAAATTAGATTAATTATAGATATTAAAAAGTCATGTAAATATTATTTTAAGACTATTTGACAAATAAGCTAAAAACAGATAGATATACAGTGCATTTAGAGAGGTGATTTTATTAAATGTTTTATGTACTTGGGACCAAGCTTGACCGTGCATTTAGAGAGGTTTTACTATACTTATATAATATATCCAGTTAATATTAAAGAAAACATACAAGCGGCATATACAGTATATTAAATAAAGAATTCTCTTATTATTTTTATTTTTATCTAAATTCGAGAAGTAACTTGGTCCATGCGAAATATCAATCATACACAATATTTTATTGCTACAATTTTATTTTATTTGAAAATGCTTGTGCAATATAATTGATCTGACCATTCTGAGATTATGTATGAAATTTCTTGAATTTGGTTCCACATTATATATTGAATTATTTTATATTGATTTGCTATTATTAATTTATACAGTATGTATTTTGAAATATATATTAAAACCAATATACTAAAACTTAATTAATATTATTATTATATAAATAATAAAAATTAAAAATCATATTTTTTTTTGATTTAATTAATTGTTTATTAGTTTTTATTATATAGTATAAATTTTTTTTTTTTTGATTTGATAATAATATTGTTTGTTATTTTTAATTTTTTTTATTAATATTAATATTTATATTATATTTGTTTTATTAAAATATACATATTATATTGACTATTTATTCTAATAATTTATTTATATTCTATTTCTTTTTATATCTTTACAAATTATTTGCTTTTATATTATTTTTTGCTGCTATATATATTTTAATTTTTTAAAAACTTATTATTTTTGTCTTTTTTTTTTTTATTTTTTTCTTATAAAAGTTATTTCTTATTTGGTTTATTAAAATTTTTTTTTTCAAAACAAGAAAGAGTTTTTTTTTTTATTTAAAAAAATTATAGTAGTAATTTAAATTAAAATTTAATATTATTAATGTAATTGTTAAATTGAATAAAAATAAAAAAATTTAAATCCGGCAAGCCAGATTTGAACTAGCGACCTAGAGATAACAGCTAAACTACAGTCTCCCGCTCTACCAACTGAGCTATTGCCGGTTTCTTAGCAAAATGTCATCGAATTGAAATATTCGAATAATAGACTCTTCCTAGTGCCGATCTCGATAACTCGGATAAAAAGATCAGTTTCATCATTTATTCGCTAAAATAGATGCGATGTCTTTATCATTAAACGTTTACGCAAGAGTGAAATTTCGATGGCCCTCAAGAATATGTTCGCATTGTTGCAAAAATTACCATTCTACCTCACAGCTTCTCACCACAAAGGATTCATCTAATAATATTGAGAAAAAGAACAATGAAAAAGAAGGTCTTTCCGAGGAAAGCAAGACGACACAAGTCAGGCGGCGAATAAAAAGATTTTTATTTAAAGAATTTTTGGCGCAAGAAGGAAAGCTTTACGAAATGCCAAAATTTAATGGGCCTAATTATTTAGGTTCTTCCAACTGTGTGAGTTTGAAGACATTATAAAGTATTACAGGTAAAATAAATTCTGAGCACGCTTTTTACCTTTCACTAGTAGCCATTTCCAATGAACCCATATTTCAAAGCTCAACCACCGCTTTCCGACACGTTTAAAGAAGTAGTGTGGGATATGTTTATGCAAGGAATCACCATACGGGAAATTGGGACGAAAATGGGAATTTCACTTAAAAGAGTCGAAGCCATTTTGAAATTGAAGAAGTTAGAAAAGGATATGATCGCTCAGGTAATGTTAAATTGAGCCTGTATTTAAATTTTATGTGTGCAATGTTCCTATGATAAGAATATTGGTTGTCATATCGTCTATGATGCTAAATCGATTAGTCTTGAAGACAAGCACATATGGTTAAATTTATTTGTTATATTAACTGAGTCTATATGCACAATGTTACCAATCTTTTCCAAAGAATGTAGCTTCATAAATTTCTTTAAGATTTTTAACGATCCGGTGTCTTTCTCTATTGATAGGGATTAACGATTCAAAGAAGTTTTTCATCTCATATGGAAAAAATGTTAGGCGCGAGATCAATTTTATCAGAGGAACTAAGTGACACTTTGCCACAAGTGGGAAAGCCAAAGTTTTATTTGAGAGATGAAGGCGAAGCTTTTAAACCAGAAGTATGATAATTTGATTGGTATTCTTTTGAAAAACGCATACTTTCGGATTAACGCTTATTATATATGTAATTACGTAATTACATAGGACGCTGCAAACATTCTAAAACGTCCGACCTTAGCTATATTAGAAGAACGAAAATTGAGAGAGGAATTAGTTCGACCATTCTCGTTAGAAGAAAAAACAAATGAATTACAAGGCGCTATAGAAATTGAACGTAATGAAGATTTAAAAAATAAAAGATTTGCATTTAGATTTAAAAATGTTGGAAAGGTAAATTTTTTTACTCGTACATTGATAACTATATACCAAAGAGATAGCTCATATTAACATTTTTTTTGATCTTTGATTGATAGAACCCCGGTATCGTCATTCGTGAAAGAGATGGAAGTCTACTAAAAGTAGAGAATACATCCATAGGAAAATCAATACATTTTACCAATTGAAGTTCATTCACATATTTCTCCCAGTTAGTTGATTCTTCATTAAACATTTTCTAAATCTTGCTATCACTTGTACACAAAATTTCATTGAGTTGTGACCATTACGAGTACAATTCTTATATACAACATAAGGTAATAAAAAAACGTTAGCTTACAATAGAAAATTTTTATAATTAATTTTGCCATTCGGTGTTATTTGTATGGTTATACAAATATCTTGAATTGATATAGTAATTATCTAAAATACAATTTTTTATTCTGCGTATTATAATAATTGATAGAAACTTAATAAAATATTAATTTTGTAAATCATATTTATTTATAGTATGTCATAATTCACTTGAGAATTAAAATTCAATGCACAAGAAAATATTTGGTTAATTTTGCAAATGTTTTTAATATTTTTATTATAAATCAATTTTTTTCATTATTAAATTATAAATAAATTAATTTTACTTTTTTTTAATCTTTTAAATAATTCTTGAAAATTAATTAATTTATAATTTATTTTTACTAATAATATTTTATATTTAAATATAAGTATATCAATTATAAAGAATATATAGTATATAACACTTGCTTTTGAAAAACTATTTTGATATTTTTATTTATAATAAAAAATTTCATATTAATTATTATATACTGTATAAATATATTTATTGCAAACAAGTATAAATACAAGACTTATTAAAGAATATGTTTATCATTATTATATTGATCTTTATTTTTAATTTGCAATTAGATTGAAATCATTTATTTATTAAATTATAAAACAATCACAAATATAAAATAAATATAAATAAAAAACTTTTTTTTATAATATCTATATCTGAAAAAAATTATTAAAAAAGAAAAATAAAAATTTTTTCTCATAAAAAACAAATATCCAAAGGTCTTAAGGACTTTACTCCAAGAAATTTCTAGTTATTGAATATAAATATATTTTCTTGAATATTTGATTACTAATATTCAAAAACTTTTAGTAATTATTATTTTTAAAATATTAAAACTTTCAAAATCTATATTTCTAACTTTACAACTACCTTTAATCTTTTTCTTTTAAATAATTTCCTACAAATATAACTAATACCTATAAAACTCAATATATTGTAAATAGTTTTGAAATCTTCAAAATTATTTTTGTTATCTTTATTATTATACAAAAAATCAGAATTTTCTCTTCATTAATTATATTTATTTTAAAGTCTATATAATTAAAAGATTTCAATACCTTTATAAATTTTTAATACCTTTTCAACCTAACAAATAAAAAAAAATACTGCTATTATTAAAAAATTATTTTTTTTTTTTTTTTTTTTTATCGCGAACGAGCATTAAATGCGAGACTTTATTTAAATATAAAATTTACTGTCATTA